ACACAAGGCCATCCCCCCGCCGACTCACACTGTGAATGGTGGCAGCAGTGTCGCATTCTCCATGCTTGCAGTCGCGCTGTCTGCACTCTGTGATGCCAGGCTGTGGCACCTGGCTGGGCACAATCTTCTCCTTGCTGTATGGGATTCCACCTGTCCATGTACCAGGATGATGTCGGTCTCCATTCCAACTTGTGGCTTCGTGGCCCCGTGCGGTGACAAAGCATGTCACTCTGCCCGTTGGTGAGCACATCCACCCTCCATTGTGGATGGGATCGTTGGGGCATCAGACGCACTTGTACAGCTCCAATCGCTATGCAAAGCCCCGGCGAGTCGGCAGCAGTTAGGATCTCAGAGATCAGCCTAGAACTCAGGACGCCCGCCCTTCTTCCAAGCACCAAGCTCCTGTGATGCTGACCTCCTCCACTTTGTGAGTCAGAGGCAGGGCTCCCCATTTTTCCAAGCTGCCTTCCAGCCCTGTATCACCTAGAGGCACCTTGCCATTGGGACTCTAGTGGTAAGTGATTGGCGTATGCTTTTACTTCATGTCCACAATGACAACGACTGAGCGGCCTCAGTTTCCCCAGCGGGTCCATCTGCCTGACCCCAGTGGCCTGAAGACTGTGCTCATATTGTTGCAGGGAAAACTGAATCAGTAGTAGCCAGGAGCTCAGGAGAAGAAAAGAAATTTTACTGATGCTAGCGGACCCCAGAGGAGTAATCTCCGAAGTCCGAGGTGAGGTTTACAAAAAGTTTGTCTTTTTATAAGTTGGCGCACAGAACTTACAAGGATGAAATAAGCTTTTGCTGAAGACCACGGTAATGGGTACCTTGTGGGGAGCATAGCTGTATATGTGGCAAAGTTGTTTTTAGCACATACGCAGAAGTTTCAGTTTGATGACAAATCATATAATTCAGCTGAGTTCGGAGGCAGAGAACAGAATGACTGCAGCTGTATTTAACAAAATGGCTGCAGTTAGGTCAAGATTTCTGCTTCAGTATCACTTCAGTGGGGGTCTGTGACCTTGCCCAGGAGGCACATCTCCCTGACGTCAGGTGACTGGGGCTACAGTTGCTGAAGGCAAGTCGGAGGCCACCAGCTGCCATCTCTCCTGTACCATTGCCCGGTCCCTCCTGTCCACGCTAGCCCCTCTTATGCCTTCCCTGCCAGCCCCACAGACCGGCTTTACTCACACCTCTGTCAGCCCGGCTTGAAGAACACACTCTTTCTTCAGGCTGCCTTCCACTGATACCAGGCTGCCTTTTACCTTGGTTCCAATATCATAATGCATAGAGAAAATGAAATCACCCCCTCCCCTTTTCCCAAGCCCCTTAGCTTCCTTCCCAGGGCAACTCCAGCTGCTAATTCCTTACCCTTTGTTCAGAAATAGAACACACACACACACACACACACACACACACACACACACCCTTCTTGCCTGTGTTGACACAACCTAGGGCTTATGGCACGTTCTCCCCCACATTGTGCACTACCTGGTTCTTCTGCAGCAGGATAAACAGGCCCCTCTGGTTCTTTCCAGCAGCTACAGTTCTCTCTTGCCTTTACAACCACCATCTACTTCGCCAGCCGCTCCAGGAGGGATTGTCCAGTCACTTCCAGTCCACTACTACCCCACCAACGCCGTACCGATTGTCCCCGTGCGCACACTTTTGCACACACCACACAAATATTTCTGCAAAATACCTTCCTGACCTGTGCTTGTGGGTCTGAGGGTTCCACATGTCCTCCATGGGTCAGTAGCATGAGGGTCCCTAAAGGAGTGACCAGTGTCCATGGTGATGCCTGGGGCAGCTGACCAAGCTGCAGAGCGGGCATGGCTGATCCTTCCCAGACCTGGTGGTACACTGGGACCAGCTGGGGCCACGGCAGTTCTGTAAGTGGGGTCCCCAAACCTCAGATTCCAAGCTGATCTGGATGTGGCCCAGTCACTGCAGATTTCCTAAAACCTCCCAAGTGACGCTGGAATGCCCCCAGGTGGAGATCATGGCTTTGAACTCACCAGTGGCTCCCCAGCCTGTGGCAGCGTGTAACCACACTCCTCGGGAGGGTGTGGAAGGCCCATCATTTCTGACTCCTGCCTGCCTCTACGCCTCCTCCTGGCATCCGCCCCTCCGTACCAATTCTCTGGTGAGGCCAAATCCGCTTCGCTCCTCCTTTGCTTGCTCATTTTGCAGGAGGAAGATAACTCCCTCTTTGGCAGGACACGTCCAGAAAAAGCAAGGCCTGCCGGGCACAGTGTCACCCTCCCGTCATCACAGCTCCTTGGGAGGCTGATCCAGGAAGGCTGCAAGCTTGAGATCAGCTGAGGCCGTGTCTTAAAATAAAAAGTTAAAAATAAAAAGGGCCGGGAGTGTAGCTCAGTAAAAAGCACCCCTGGGTTCGATCCCCAGTACCATAAATGAGTAAATGAATCAAGCAAGGCCTTGGTGACACCGAACAGGATGGGGACAGCGCCTCAGCCAGCATCCGGACTTGCTTCCTCCCTCCTTGGTGACGATGGTGATGGTGGCAGTGAGAGCTGACCGAGTGCACTGCAGGGTGACGTTCCCACAGCGGTGCTCTACGCAAGGGAACTTGCCTAACACAAGTAGGGACAGTCGCCAACACCGCCTTGCAGTCACCAAGGCTCAGAAAGGTCCCAAGGAGACTTCTAAGTGGTGAGGCTGGGGGAGACACAGGCAGCCCCTTCCCAAGCCCCCTGATCTGCAGCCACAGCCCCCACTCAGCTTTACGGTCCCAGGGACAGGATCCACCTAAACCAAGCTCTGCCAAACAAAGGAGGAGACATCGCGAGGGGGCAGGGACTTTGCGCTGAAAACCCCAGACCGCTGAGGCTCCGTGGCCATCAACCAGGTCTGGAGAGCTGGACGCAGGGAGCTTCTCCATCCTTCTCCTCAGGTCCCCATTTCTGCTCCTCCTTCTGGGTCAACCCGACAGTCCCCCTCCTCCTTGGGGTTTCCTCTGCTGCTGCACCACTCCACCTCTAAATCGCAGGGCCAGCATCTGCCACCCACTGCCACAGCCTCAGTCTTTTGGTCCAAATTCTCTGGAAAGAGAGAGGTAAATTTGATTGCTTCATCCCAACCTATAGGTAATGTCCCTCTTGGATTAGGTATCATTCCTTTGTCTGATTGGATAAAGAATATCATGACCCTACTAGTGGATTCGCTGGAGCCAGGAGGAAGCAGGACATTTGATATAAAAGTTTGTGATGGGCAGAACAATGCTCCTCCTAAAGATGTCCAGCGCGGCCTCTAAATGTTACCACACATGGCAAAAGAGACTTTGCAAGTGTGATTTATTTAAAGATCTTAGAATCTGAGACAACCCTGCTTTATGTAGTGACTCAATGCAGTCACAAAGGCCCGGATAACAGAAAGTGGGGGAAATGAGTCACAATTAGAGGAGAAAGGCGAGGCTGGAAACAGCGGTGGGTTGAGTGCCGGCTTTGAAGAGGGAGGAAGAGGCCACAAGCACGGGGATGCAGGTGACCTTTATGGAAGGGAGGAGGTGGGGAAAATGCAGCTCTGCCCACACCTTGGTGTTATTCTCAGGAGACCTACTGCCAGCTTCTGAGCTCCAGAAACGTACGGCAATGCATTTGTGTTATTTGTTGCAGCGGCACAGGATAGCAGCCAGGCCTCCAAGGCCGTGCCTTTATGAGGGTGCAGGGTAGAGCCATTCTTTGGAAGACATCGAGGAGGGCCCAGCCACGCATCTGGCATCCCAGCAGAAGGGAACGGGGTGTGCTCAAGTGTCTCTGTAAGGGTGGGTCACCCGGAGCAGGAAGATGCCACACGGGCTGGCAGGGGTGCTCTGTGAATGCCTGGAGTGGGGGCAGCCCCACTGCACGCAGGCTCAGTCTGTGCTAATGGGCGCCGGAGCCCTAAGAAGCACTCTTTGCGGTGAGTCTTCACTGCGCCCGGCCCCACCACGGACACTGTGACAGTCAGATGCAGCGCCCGCCCCCCACCCCAGTCTCAGCTCCTCTGGAGGCTGAGGCAGGAGGACCAGTGTGAGTTTGAGGCCAGCTGGGCTACACAGTGAGTTCAAGACCAGCCCAAACTACGTAGCAAGACCCTGCCTCAAAACACCAAAATTTAAAAATAAATAAATAAATACAATTTCTTAGCAGCAGACTTCTTCCTGTCTTCTCCCTAGTCTTCCCTGTGACTTGGAAAAGGGTTGTTCAGCTGACACTCGGAACCATGGCAGGCAGGGTCTGCTCAGGACTCACATCACTCAACACAGGCACCATAATCTTCAAGTCACAGATGGGAAAAGGGAGGCCCAGAGAGGTGAAGACACTTGCTCCAGCACACACAGCACAGAGGAGGTAAATTCTGGATTTGAACCCATGCACTGAAGGGAGTCAGGGAAGGGGCAGAGTCACTGCTCTGCCAAGGTGTGGGCTCTGTGTGGACACTGGCTCAGTGTCTCCTCTTGTCCCCCCATCCACCACACCCCATGCCAGGCCCTCATCCATTTCTGCAGGACCCTGCGGCTCACACGACACCGTCTAAAAGCCACACTGGGCCACCCCGTGCCCACCTGCCCAGTGCCTTTGTCCTCATTACCAGCTCACAGGGAGCTAGGAAGCCCCAGGCTCTGATGTCCAGAAAGGACCCCAAGTTTCTGTTCTGTGAGGACCCTGGCCTCCCTCAGATTCTAGCCAGCAAGGTGACTTTGGTCAAGCCTCTTTGGGCCTCAACTATAAACTGAGTTATGAGCCTGGCATGGTGGTGCATGCCTATAATCCCAGTACTTGGGAGGTTGAGGCAGGAGGATCGTTGCAAGTTCGAGACCAGCCTGGGCTACAAAGTGAGCTCAAAGCCATCCTGAACTGCATAGCAAGACCCTGTCTCAAAAAGCAAAAAAATAAACAAACAAAATAAAATAAACTGAGTTGTGAAATTCACCGCCCTCCAGAAGCCAGAACTCTTAAGAAAATAAAGCAGAACCACTCTCCATAGTGATGCCTGCTTTAGGCAGGGCTTTGTGCTTTGGCCTTCACCAATTCAACTGTCCTCATTTGACCAGAGGTGAAGTGACCCACCAGGACACACTCGGGGCAGGGCGGAGCGGAGCCAGGAGGGCTCTCCCCCTGTGCATCTCGTCTTCCCCCTCCCCCCGGAGCCAACCCCACAGCAGGTCTGGTTGGGAGGGGGTTGGGATTCGATGCTCCCTGAATCCTTCTTGTTCCCCTATTTTCTGCAGACCAGAAAACTGAGGCTCAGAGGCGCTAGCTCGCCTGCCCAAGGTCACCCAGCCTTTCACATCAGAGCCCGGGACTGTGGGGGGAGTGTCCTCCTTCCCCAGTGCAGTCTCCCCCATCCTATCCAGGGCTCGAGGCTGGGGCGTCCCCAGCTGTCCCAGGCTGGGCTGGTTAAAGGCAGCAAACTTCCTCCAGCAACCCTAGTCCAAGCCCCACACATCACCAGCACCGAAGAGCCACTGGCACACAGGGAGCTGCGGATGTCCGGGCCCAGCCGCCCCTGCCCCTCCCGAGCCGCGCTCCTCCGGGCAGGGCGGGAGGACAGCTCTCCTTGCCTTCCTTCCCGGCGCTGGCAGAGCTGCTGCGGCTGCTCCTGCCTGCTGCCTGCCTGATGGAGAGATTATTTCTAAGCCCTTCCCATCCCCCTCGCAGGACCACGCTGGCTGGCTGTCCCCATAGCACTTGGAGCGCAAAGTCCGCCGCCGAGGCGGGACAGCTACCCAGCTCCCTCTAGCACAGACCTGCAGGCGCTGGCCTGTCAGGAGGAAGGGGTTGTGGGGTCATCCCCAAAGCCCACTCCACTTCCCCAGGGCTCCTCTGCAGCTGCCAGAGAGAGATGCTGAACGAACTTCTGCTTTCGGGAGGAGGCGAGGCAGAGACTGGGGGATAACTCTGCTGGAAACTGCTGTGCTGGGGAATTTTTTCTTCCCCTTCTCTCCAGCCCAGACCTGTCCCTCCCCTGGGCACCAAGACACGGGCTCCCCTTGCTCAACTGGAAACAGCTGCAAATGGCCTCCCTGAGACAAGAGGGTGAGTCAACTTTAGGGCAGGAAGCGGGCGTTTGTTGCAAGGGCGGGGGGTGCAGCAGCAGGCGATGCCGTAAAACATTTTGGCCAAAGCACTGTTCCGAGTGAATGTCCTTCCCGGGCTGTAAAGCAGCTTTGCCTGCCAGCTGCTGTGGGGTGTGCGTGTGCGCAAAATCGGGTCTGTTCAGTGAGTGCAGAGGGGGCAGTGCTCAGGTTCTGGGGAGAGCCCCATTCTGGGAAACTGAGTCCTGGGCTGGATTTGGATTTGCTGTGTGACCTTGGACAAGTCACGTCAGCTCTCCGAGTCTTGGCTTTTGCACTTGGAGAACAGGAAAGCTTGAGAAAGCTCCTGGGATTTCCAAACCCTCTTGTCTGGAGAGGCTGCACTCCTCCCGCCGCTTGCTGTGAGCTAAGTAACAGCTGCAGAACAAGAGAGCCCCGAGTAGAGAGCGGGAGAAAAGCTTCGGCTGCAACTCACGCTCTACCATCCGCCGGGATCCACCTGGCTCTGAAATTGAGACGAACTTTATTTCCATTCAGCCGCCGAGGCTCCCTCCTGACTGGACTGCAGCTGGAAGTGTAAGGGGAGGGTGGCTTTGGAGACAGCTCCGGCTGGGATGAATAGTGCAAGAAACAATTGCAGGATGCCAAGGGGAAGGGACACTGTGGAGACAATTTTTTAAAAATATGTAACTGGGCTAAATCTGCAGTCAAATGCCCCAAATAGGTCTGACATAAAGAGCGCTTTAGAAGCCCCTTCATTTTGCACGTACAAGACCAAAGCCCAGAGAGGGAGAGTAACTAGCTCAAGGTCACACAGCAAGGGTGGCTGAGGCCAGCATGCCATGAGCACGAAGGAGCAGTGTCGCCTCCAGCCGCTAGCCAGGTCCCTGAGGAAGAAAGCAATCAAGAGGTGAGGAGGTCACCATGGAGTGACTCCTGGGTGAGACGCTGTGTGCGGCAGGCACAGCCTGTGCCCTTGGACCTTCAGTGGCCCTCAGTGAGCCCTGCAGGGTGGCAAGCGCTGGCCGACCCAGACGGGCCTGTTTCCTGTCTATGAGGTGGCAGGCCCCTGTGTACACATTGGGGGTGCTCAGACGAGTTAACTAGGGCATGTCTGGAAGTATTCGTAAGGAGCACTTCGCCCTGGCCCCGCCTGTGACGCTCCCTGTGCCCCAGAAGTGGCCCGGCAGGCTGAATCCCACCTGCAGCCACAGCTGTGGGACTGTGGCCTCCCAGGGAACCTGACAGCCTCTTCACCCGCGTTCCCGGCAGACTGGTGCAAGTCTTGTCCTTGGAATGAACGAGGTTCAGATCAGAGAGGTGAAGGCATGGGCCCAAGACCACGCAGCCTGAAGGTGGCACAGCTCTGCCCGGTCAAGCTCAGGTCCCCAGCCGGCTGCTAGCACCCATTCCAGGCAGGTGCTTCTGAGCTATCAGCTCTGCTCCTCCGGGCTGGGGATTGTTCACTGACGCACCAGGCACATAGTAGCTGCCTGATGAGTGTGTCCAGGGAGAGAGTCAGAGAGTGCGTGATGCGTGCGGCACTGCTGGGAAGCAAATGTCTGAAAATGTCCAGGATGCCCAGGACTCTGCCCTGAGACTGATTTTTTTGTCCCCTTGCTTTGCCCTCACATCAGAGAAGTGAACCCTCAGCTGCCGGCCTGGATGCCTCCAGGATGCCCACACCTTCCAGAGACCGGGGCCTGCAGCCCAGGCACCATCCCTACGGCTCCTGCAGCCCCATGAGCCAGCTCCTGCCCGGCCCCCTGGAGCAGCAGGCAGTCAAGGGCCTTTACTACTGCAGGGCACGGAGGGTGGGTGCGCTGGATGCCTCCCCTGCCACGGACCTGAAGAAGGAGCTCCTGGTGAACGTGGGGGGCCGGAGGTACCTGCTGCCCTGGACCACGCTGGATGCCTTCCCGCTGAGCCGCCTGAGCCGCCTCCGTCTGTGCAGCAGCCAGGAGGAGATCGCACAACTCTGCGACGACTACGACGCCGACCGCCAGGAGTTCTTCTTCGACCGAAGTCCCAGCGCCTTCGGCGCGATCGCCAGCTTCCTGGCGGCCGGGAAGCTGGTGCTGCTTCAGGAGATGTGTGCGCTGTCCTTCCGCGAGGAGCTGGCCTACTGGGGCATCGAGGAGGCGCAGCTGGAGCGCTGCTGCCTGCGCAGGCTGCTGCGGAAGCTGGATGAGGCAGCTGAGCTACGCAGGGCCGAGGCGCTGCAGCTCGGGTGCGAGGTCAAGGGGCCAGCTGTGCGCCCCTCACGCTGGGGCCGCTGCATGAACCGGCTGCGCCAGATGGTGGATGACCCGCAGTCCGGGCTGCCCGGGAAGGTCTTTGCCTGTCTGTCCATCCTCTTCGTGGCCACCACGGCTGTCAGCCTGTGCGTCAGCACCATGCCTGACCTCCGGGCGGAGGAAGACAAGGTGAGTGGCCTCCATGGGGTGCGGAGTGCCTACCCCATCTTCCAAGGACTCCACCCAAAGGTCTTCATTGCTTAAAGCAAGAAGGAAAAACTGAATCGTATCCCATGTGCGTTAAGTTCATGTTTAGACCAGCACAGTCACGAAAGAGAATTTTCCTTTTCTTTTTTTTGAAGGCAGGGCTCAAAAAGGCCAAAGTGCCTGGGCCTTTCAAAGTCGTCATGTGTCCTTGGCTCAGGCAAGGGATCCTGGATGTTGAAAAAGTTGCACCTGTTCTCAGTGGACCAAGTAGGCTTAGCCCCGACTCACCCAGCTCTGTGACCGGGGACAGATCATTTCACCTCTCTGAGCCTCAGTTTCCTCCTTGGTAAAATGGACACCGTTGTTGGAAAGGTTTGCAGTGTGCTCACCATGTGTTAACTGAGTAGCTACTTTGTGCTGATCACTAGTGCAGATCCCACCTCTCTGAGCGCAGTCCCCTGGGCACCCCAGCTCTATTTTCAGGTGAGGCTACTGAGGCACGGGCTGTGTTTGCTCCTGCTGTACTTTAAAGATGATGGCAGAGCCTCTCGGCCCTCATCTTCCTGTCTGTGTCTCGGCCCCAAATCCCTCAGTAAGACTCAGTGGATGGGACTCAGAGAGAAGTTGATGGGCGAGTGGCCCTGCCCCAGGATGCCAGAGCAGACATTTGCTTACCCACTACTTCTTCCTCTCTCTCGGGAGCTAGAGGAGACGCCGAGGATGCCAGGGGACCTGAGAAGGGAGGTAGGAACCTAGTAGTTTGCTAGAAGGGTCATCGGAGAGTCTCAGACTAAAACGGCTGTTTCTCATCTGAACCATTGCTCCGCTTCTGTGCTGTGCTCCCCCGTGGCGCTCCGCTGCCCCAGCTCTCCTGCTCACATTCCAGTGGGAACACAGACAGAGATGCCCCTAACAGCTGCCAGGGCACCTCAGTTCCCTTCCTCTGCAGACAGGCCCCAGGGCAAGACAGCAGTGTCAGAGAACTTCCCAGGTGGGAAAACAGCCTCCGCTGCACACACAGTAGGCTCTCAATACATACCTGTTGAATGGAATGTGTTTTATCCAGTCCACAAAGATTTGCCCTAAAAAAGACAACCAGAATACTTAGACTTTCAAACAGCACCCCCGCCCCGTGTTGCTCTGATTGGAAGCATTTTTTCATTCTTTGGCACAAAAGCATGCGATGTGGAAGGCTGCTTGCTCGCACAGATGTTTACATGCAGACTCTAGTCAAAAGATTAGAATAGAGTAAGCCGTCTCCTCAGCCTGTTCCTCAGCTGAAGACGGAGGCTGGGTGGCCACGAGCCTGTTCCTCCCAGGGCTCCGCAGGGCCAGGAGAACCGCTGTGGGTGCCCCTATCTAAACTGCACAGAAACCTAATGTTTTGAAACATGACTGAGCGTACGAACCCTGCCTGGCTTACCATGACTTGGGAAATCAAATTAGAGGTGGTCACAGCCCAATGCCAGAGTGGAGGAATCAGGTGGCCTTGTCCCCGGGAATAGGAGGGGTTTAGGCTCAGTCCGGTTGCGGGACCTTTATGGGTTCTTGCAGGGAAACCCCCTCCATACACGCTGCTCAGAGGTGCCTTGCAGGCACAGGCCAGAGAGAGCCTGTGTTCGCTGCTGGGATGGGAATCCAGAGACGCAGGGAGGCTGAGGACTTCTGTTCTTTCCAGTCCGGAGCCTCACGTTTACGTAAAAAGCTGCTGCTCCTTCTCCAACTCATGCCTTGTATTTCATATTTGCCCCAGGGGACGGTAGGCTAGTGCAGCCCTATGAAATGAGCCTGCTGCTTCAGCTGGTCGGCTGCCTCTAGCGCCAACCTGAGTGGTTCTGATGGCCTCCAGCGAGATACATTAGTGCCACACCCAGGGGGCATGACCCACGGAGCTCCTCCTGAGACAGAGGGGAGTGACACTTGTTGGAGGGAGAGAGCCCTGAAGGGTGCAGCTTCCTACCCATCTCCCCAAACTTCAGCAGCATCCCCAGCAGTGAACCAGGCTGTCAGGAGGGTAGAAGTCTATGCCCCAGATCACAAATTAAAATGGAGGAGGAAGGAGCCAAGCCACGTGCCTGCGCGTCTGAGAGCACAGGAGCCTGGAGCTCTGGGCTTCCTCAGGGTCCCACTGATGGGCCTGGCAGAACCAGGCTTGCGGCGCAGGGGACCATGGGGTGTTGGGCCGAACCTCGCCCACAGCCTGTGCTGGCTCCTCAGTAAGATGGGGCAGAGGAAAGAAGGCCCCGGGGAATGTTTTGTTTCATTGTTTTGCATTTTTGAGACAAGGTTCCACTGCGTAGCCCAGGCTACATATGCCCTCAACCCTCCTGACTGCCGGATCACAGGCGTGCACCACCACACCGGCTACAGGGAGAGGTTTTTTTTTTTTTCTGGTACCGGGAATCGAACTCACGACCTTGCGCTTGCCAGGCAGGCACTGTGCCGCTGAGCTAAATCCCTAGCCCTACAGGGAAAGTTTTAAAGTCCAGTGTGTGTGTGTGTGTGTGGGGGGGGGGTGACTGCAAAGTCCCTTGCCAGGAGCCATGCCCTCCTGTGCCTTCTGCTTTGGCACCTCCTTGCTGCGCTTTCCACCTGCCCACTGCTGCCTACTCTTCCCAGAAAACCCTCCCTCTGCAGCCAGCGCCTTCCCACCTCTGCCCGCCTCCGTGATTCTGACACAGCTTCCTGAGCAGGCCCTGCTCTCCGCAGCTGTTCCGTGCTCAGTGACATTTGGGAATTGCTCTAGTGATTCCTCACAGATTTCTGCTTTACCGTGTTTTTTTCCCCATCAAGTCTCCCTCTATCCTGGCCAACACTCTCCTGGAGGTGCCAGGATCCCAGCAGTAAAGCGATGGGACAGTGAGATTTGGATGGGAGACAGAGGTGTCCTTGTGTATGCGGAGACAGGCTTCAAGACACTCCTCACCCACAGGGGTACCAAAATTCACGGGTGCTTACGTCCTTCATAAAAAGGTGCAGTGTGCACCATCCTTCCATACATGTTCGGTCATGTCTAGCTGATTTATAAACTCTATCATGCTCCAAATACTGTGTAAGTAGTTGTTATACTGTGTTGTATAAAGACTAGATTTTTTACAGAAAAAAAAAGATCTGTATGTGTTCAGTACAGATAAAACTTTCCTTCTGAATATTTTCTATCCAAGGTTGGTTGTAAAACCGGTGGATACAAGGACCCAGCTGTGTTTATTATACCTGTGCTGTGTACCCAGCCCTGTGTATTTCCCTTGGTTTCCTAAATTTTTTTAAAGGAGGCTTTTTTTTTTTAACTATTTTCTTTTTTGGTACCGGAAATAGAACTCAGGGCCTTGCACTTGCCAAGCAGGCACTATGCTGCTGAGCTACATCCCTGGCCTGGTTTCCTAATTTTATCCTCATGACATTCACATTCTAAAGGTGGGGAGACTGAGGCCCACAAGGTTCCTGATTTGCCGGAGCTCAGCAGCTCAGGATCCTTGTACTTAGTGGAGCAGCAGCAGCCCCAGTGCCCATGGCGATGGGCCCAGGGCCGCAGCAGTGGAAGAGGAGGAAGGAGGACAGAGGAGTAAGGGCAGTTAGACCAGGAAGCACCTCTACAGTGCCCGCCCGGGGCAGGGGTCACCTGGTGCCCACAACTGCCCTGCAGGACAGGAATCGCCCTCCCCACGCTACAGAAGGGGGGCCGCCTTCAGAGATGGGAGCCCACAGTCCAGGGCCGGGGCGGGGGCAGCGGCTGGGAGGGAGCAGAGAGGAGGCTGGGTGGCCAGGGGCAGGTGCCAGGGCTGGGGAGCCGTCAGTGAAGGACGGTTGCGGAGGGTACCGAGGATGTCAGGGAGTGCTGGCCCTGTGCAGAAGGGAGAGGCCAGGGCAGGATGAGTCAGCACCTCCGGGCCCAGGAGAGTCAGAGGAAGCAGCCCAGGGCCTGAGGGCAAGACCAGAGGCTCCGTGGTAGAGTTGCAGACGTGGGAGGAAGGCGGGGAGGTGGGGGGCTAGGCTGCAGGGAGCTAGGGACCCGCAGGAGAGGGGGGCGTCCTGGGGGATGCTGCAGGGCCAGAAGAGGCTCCAAGGTCAAGGCTGTTGGCCTTCACTTCTCCAAGAGAGACCTCGTAGAGCGGCCTGGCTGCCCACCCACGCCGTGCCCTTGGGAAGCACTGTTCTCTGCCCAGGTGCCCCAGGAAGGGTGCCTGCTGGACTTACACACTGCCATGCCCCCTGGGCTCAGCTGAGGCCCTTGGAGTCTTTTATTAAGATATAGTTCCAATACCGTAACCGTCACTCTTTAGACGTGCGCAGTTCAGCCCAGCATGGTGGTCACACTTATAATCCCAGCACTCTAGGAGACCGAGGCAGGAGGATCACAAGTTCTCGCTCAGCCTAGAGATTCAACAAGACCCCGTCTTAAAAAAACCAAGCGAACATTCAGTGGGTTTCGGGGATTCTCACAGCAGTCCAGCCATCACCTCTGTCTTAGTCCCGAACAGTGTCATCAACCCAATGGCCACTAGCAGCCACACCCATTCTATGCCCCCTCAGTCCCTGGCAAGGGCTGGTCTGCTCCCTGGTTTGGCTGCTTCCGGGCACTGCATACAGACGAGCCCTACAGTGTGGGGCTTTTGGCTTCCAAGGTTCTCTTGGTTGCAGAGCGGGTCGAAACCTCATTCCCTGTCCGGCTGATGGGCATCCGTGCATCGTGAAAACGTGTGTGCCCGTGTGTTTTTGTCCCTCCCTGGGTCCTGCACTAATTCTTGACCTCCGCCCTGGGAAGCTTCGAGGCTACTGCTTTTCCAGGCAGCTGCCCCATTATTGTTCCACCTTCCCACCCACAGGCTCTGAGGGCTTCAGTGTCTCCACAGCCTCACCAACACTTGCTACCCTTTGTCTTGTTTTGTTTCATTTTGCTTGTTTGAGACAGACTCTAACTATGTAGTCCAGGCTGGTCTCAAACTTGTAGCAATCCTCCTGCCTCAGCCTCCTATGGCCTGGAAATTACAGGAGTGTGTCACCACACCTGGCTATCACCTGTCTTCTTGATTCTAGCCATCCCACTAGGGGTGAAGTGGTATCTCATTGTGGTTTGAAATTTTTAAAATTTATCTTTTTTAAGTTTTCACTGTAGAATTCCAGATATTTACAAAGAAAACAGAATACTACAATAAGCCAGCAACCAATATCCTACCATTCTTATTTCCTTCAGCCCCCAAATCACTTTTTATTGTCATTATTTTTACCTTGCAGTTGCATATAACATACACTGAAATGCCCAAATCTTTTTTTGTTGGGGGGAAGTATTGGTGGTTGAATCTTCACACTGAGCTACATGCACACTCCTTCTTACCTTTTTTTTTTTTTTTGAGACAGGGTCTCTCCGAGTTGCCCAGACTGGGCTCAAACTTGTGATCTTCTTGCCTCAGCCTCCTAGAGTGCTGGGATTACAGGTGTGTGCCACCATGCCTTGCTGCAAAGCAGATATTTTAGCTGTGTCTTTTAACAGATACGTCCTCACTGTAGAACATTCCCTTGTGACCTTTCCCCAACAACCCACTACCCTCAGCAGCACCATCCTGACAGCCATTCCCAAGCATCCCATAAAGAGGGAACACGGCCCACAAACAAGAACACTAACCACCCCCAGGAGGCTCCCAGGACTGAGGAGGCTCCCAGGACCCCAGGTTTCTGTGCTCAAACCCAGGAAGATGGAGCAAATCGGGGCCAGCTGAGTTGTTCCCCTCCCTACAAAATACAAGGAACTTCCTCAGAGAGACAAAGAGAAACTTTCCTTCCTTCTCTCTCTTTTGTCCTGCAAATATTTGCTGGGCTGGGGATTATGCTCCAGCTGGAGCCATAAATGCCGCTGCATCAGTGCGGCTGAGAGGCCTGATCCTGCCGCCTGGTGCCTATGCCGGGCTGGTTAGGGATGCAGAGCAGAGCCAGGTGCGGTGGGTGGGCGGCCTGATCCTGCCGCCTGGTGCCTATGCCGGGCTGGTTAGGGATGCAGAGCAGAGCCAGGTGCGGTGGGTGGGCGGCCTGATCCTGCCGCCTGGTGCCTATGCCGGGCTGGTTAGGGATGCAGAGCAGAGCCAGGTGCGGTGGGTGGGCGGGCGCAGTGACTCGGCACAGCTGCTTGCTGCAGTGTGGGAGGAGCCGGCCAGCGGGGAGGATGGAGCCGGTGTGCATGTCTTGAATAGCCAAGCACCAGCTAGGCCTGCGGGCAGCCCTGGGACCACCCGGCCTTCTCAGCTCTGGGCATCGCCCTCTTGCTATTCCCAGGGTGCCAAGGAGGAAATTCCCAGATGTCACCCAAGAAGGTGGCCTGGGGGGAGGATCCAGCCCAGTCTAGAACTTCCAGCTGTTCAGAGTCCAAGGGGATCTGCCAAAATGCGCCGTCCTGGCGCCGCCCCAGGGCTTGGTTTGGTGACAGTGCCTGAGAATCTGCATTTGTAGCCAGCACCCTTGGGGGTTCCCGTGCAAGGTTTTCTGAACCAGCTTGGGGAAATCCCGACTGTGTTTCAGCCTCTTCATTGGAAACTGAAGCACAGAGAGGGAGGGCCATGCAGGGATCACTTTGAGGTCACATAGCAAGTTTGGAACAGGACTGGAAAATTGGGAACCAAATCTCCTGAGCCCTTCAGCATTGTGGAGCAAACTGCAGAGCTCTCTTGGTGGGTCAGAGAATGCGCTCAGTGCCCTATAAATCCAGCAGTAGGAGGCGGTACGGTGCCCTCATATTGGGCAGGCAGTCGTTGTCTGAGACCAGGGTATCGATGTGGGCCAGGGTGCTAACAGCTGTTGAGGTGTGCTAATAGCATCATTTCTACTCATCGCAACAGCCTTTGGGCAGAGACAGGCAAGAGTTGGAATGTGGAGCCAGACATGGTGGTGCAGGGGTGTAATCTCAGCGCTTTTGGAGGCTGAGGCAAGATTGCACGTTGGAGCCCAAGCTAGGCAATTTACCAACTACGTGAGACCCTGTCTCAAAAAATATATATATATTTTTAAAGGGCTGGGGGTATAACTCAGTGTGAAGGTCCTGGGTTCAATCCCTAATATTGAAAAAAAAGAGTTAGGATTTAAACCTGACCCACAAGCACTTAGAGCTGTGTCTCTCAACAGCAGAGTCCAGATGGAAGGCAAGGGACAGAGTGCTGCCCAGACAGGCCAACGGGGATCGGGATGGAGCAGCCCCTTTCTTCTTCCCTAGCAGGGAGACATAGAGAACATTTTGATTTAGGATGCCTCCGGGACCACACACTGGAAATAATTTCTTTTTCTACCTGAAAGCATTTTAATCCAAAAAAAAAAAAATAACAGTTGTCCACGTCTTGCTTTTCACTTAGGCAGATGGCTTTGGTCATTCATTCACTCATCCATCAAGTCAGTGAGTGTGCGTGTGCGTGTGCGTGCGTGTGTGTGTGTTTGATATTTATAACCAGATTCTCAACCCTGGCTCCACACAGAATCATTGGCAGTGGTTCTGGAAAATTCTACTACCCAAGCTAAAACCTAGATCAATTAAATTAAAATCTTGGAGTTGGGGTGTCCTGGGCACCAGAAGTTTTCCAAGGCCCCAGGTGATGTTAGTATGCATCTGAGGCTAAAAATAAAGTGCTGGAGCAGCCTCTCAAACCAGAATGCGCTGAGCATGGTGGCGCACACCTGTAGTCCCAGCACTTGGGAGGCTGAAGCAGGAGGATTGCCATGAATCTGAGGCCAGAGTGGGCTATATAATGAGTTCCAGGCCAGCCTGAACTACATAACAACAACAAAAACCCTGAACCCAAATAAATAAACCAAAAACCTACAGCAAAAAACAAACTTTAATGTTCATAGAAATCACCAGGGGATCTTGCTAAAATGCGGATGGGGAGGCTGGGTGTTCCTAACGAGGTCCCAGGGGAGGCAGGTGTTCTGGGCTCTCACCCACACTCCAAGGAGCCAGGGGCTGGGGCGCTCTGTGAAGAGCCAGGGCCAGGGAGCCAAGCCACACAACAGTGACCACAGATCAGCCCCACGTGGCTGGAAGCCACTAGGTCCCCAGGCAGAGGGTCACAGCCTCAGGTCACTGGGGCAGGACAGCTGCCCAGCCCAGCCTCCCAGGCCCCAGAACCATGCTGCTTCTCCACTGACCGGGTCCCCAGGGCTGGCACAGTGCCCGGCACAAAGCAGGCCTCAGAGGGAGGAGGGGTCGCACATGTACAAGTTATCAAACTGCGTGCAGTGGCTAAGAGACCCGGATGGAGCTGGATGCCACCACCTGGATGCCACCATATAATGAGGCCAAGCCACCAGCTCACAGCATTGCCATGTGGCTAAAGCCTCATCACCTGCATTTAGAAAGATCCCCTGGTAATTTATGTGCACATTAAAGTTTGTTTTTTGCTATGGGTTTTTTTGTTTGTTTGTTTGTTTGGGCCCTAGGTTTTGGTTTGTCTGTGCTTTGAGTTGATGGAGGGTCTTGTTATGTAGATCAGCCTGGCCTGGAACTCATGTAGCCCTAGCTGACTTCAGACTCACGGGGATCATCCTGCCTCATAGCAGCAGAGCAGTGGTGGTTCCCAGAGATGCCTGTACCTGTGATAGCAGAGGTTGCCTTGTAACAAGGAGACCCAGGACAGCCCCGCTTCCAACACATGGGGCACTGCGTCCGTCCTGTGTAACAGCCTCTGGGAGAGGCACCGAGGTGAATGGGCAGCTGTCTATGTGAGAGCCAGACTTTCCACCTGGAAGTTGCATCTCCCGGGGGTGCTGGTCCTGTTGCCTGCTGGGGTTGGTTGCAGCCCCATCGAGGTTGTGCTGGCTGCCAAAGGGTCTGTGGGTGCCGGAGCTCACACCAATGTCTGACATCCCCGACTCAAAGGTGGTTCTCTGTAGGCCATAACTTGGACATTTGGCCACACTTGGCTGGAAAAGGAGGCTGGAAAGAGCGGTCTCCGACTGAGCTAGCCCACCATGTACCAGCCATCACCTGGAAACCGCGCGGAAGGAGGTTGGGTGGACAGTTTAGCCTACGCACAGGGCTGAGGCCACACACCCATCGGAAAGGCTTTTCCCCCAAAGCGTTCTCTCTTCTCCAGTGCCACCAACCCCTCCTGCCTTCTGTTGCTCTCCTTCCCAGGGTGAATGCTCTCGGAAATGCTATTACATCTTCATTGTGGAGACCATCTGTGTGGCCTGGTTCTCCCTGGAGTTCTGCCTGCGGTTTGTCCAGGCCCGGAACAAGTGCCGCTTCTTCCGAGGACCTCTCAACATCATCGACATCCTGGCCATCTCCCCATACTACGTGTCGCTGGTGGTGTCTGAGGAGCCCCCAGAAGACAGCGAGAGGCCGAGTGGCAGCTCCTACCTGGAGAAGGTGGGGCTGGTGCTGCGTGTGCTGCGGGCGCTGCGCATCCTCTACGTGATGCGCCTGGCCAGACACTCGCTCGGGCTGCAGACGCTGGGGCTTACGGTGCGGCGCTGTGCCCGAGAGTTTGGCCTGCTGCTGCTCTTCCTGGCTGTGGCCGTCACCCTCTTCTCCCCGCTGGTCTACGTGGCTGAGAACGAGTCTGGGCGGGTCCTGGAGTTCACCAGCATCCCTGCCTCCTATTGGTGGGCCATCATCTCCATGACGACAGTGGGCTACGGAGACATGGTGCCCCGCAGCGTGCCGGGCCAGATGGTGGCTCTCAGCAGCATCCTGAGTGGGATCCTCATCATGGCCTTCCCGGCCACATCAATCTTCCACACCTTCTCCCACTCTTACCTGGAGCTCAAGAGGGAGCAGGAGCAATTCCAGGCGCGTCTCCACCGCCTGCAGAGTGCCCATGTGGCCAGCGCCAGCGAGAGAGAGCTCCTGGCTGACGTGGATGACCTGGTCCCTGCCGAGGGCCCCGACCCGCCTATCACCTACATGTAGCTAGCTCAGAAGCCTTGTGCGTGCGTGTGCATGAGTGCATCATGTGGTTCCGCCCCATCACCCTTGCGAAACAAGCTTGTCTCCAGAGATCTCCCAAGCAGGCGCTGCAAGGCCAAAGGCGTCACCTGTGTGACCTTTGGTCTTCCTGACCTCAGAGTCCTGTGACCTTATCCAGCCTGCTTGCCCTGTCCTGGCCGGGTAGGCTCGGTCCCCTGTCTTCACTTTTTCCTTCCCTGCAGAGGCTGTGCCATCCCATACTGGGTTCCCGGTGCCCACCGAACTGGTCCCTGCAGAGTTAGTGTGGTGCCTGCAGAATCCCATTCTTCCCCTTGGACCCTCGCTCCTGGCTCCCCAGTGCTATTTCCTAACAAGGCTGCCATCTCTGAGCTCGGCCACACTAAGCCAAGACAGTCAAGAAGGCGGAAGTGGCCTCTTCCCAATTCGTCCCATGTCAGGAGCTGGCAACTGCAAGCCCGCCACCCCTCGCCCACACACCACATACCTGGGACCAGGAGGGATGCCGCTTGCCAGCACAGGGACTTCGGAGGCAGCTGCAGTCTTGCTGGGGTGTTCTCCAGCTCCCCAGCCCGTAGCCTTGGCAGAGCCAAGTCTTCTAGAGCTCTGCGGCGTCCCTGCAGGGACTCGGCTTCCCCATCAGTGCAGAATCAAGGGCAGCCCCAGCATCTGCGCCGCATGGGCTCTCAGACCAGGTGTGTTCCCCGGGGCAGACGTTCCCTGTCATTTCCACGTGTTTCCTCACGTGTGGAGAGATTCTGCCCTTCATAGCCCACAGAGGAGGCTGATGCAGGGCAGTGCTGTTGGGCAGGGCAGGGATACTGACAGCCAGTACCCAGATAGCTCCCCAGAGGCATGAGGCAGGTGGGGTGTGGAGGGAATTCAAGGTACGAGGCTGGGGGCTGGGGATTTAGCTCAGCGGCAAAAAGCGCCTGCCTGGCAAGCGCAAGGTCGTGAGTTCGGTTCCCGGTACCGGAGAAAAACCAAAAAAAAAAAAAAAAAGGTACGAGGCTGGAAATGGAGTTGGGGTGCAAGGATGGCGGACCTCAGTGCTTTGTGGAAGGCAGAGTGGTGTGGACCATGCGGGTGAGGACGAGGGTGACACTCGAAGGGCCAGGAGACCAGGGTGGAAGGGGAGGGAGTGAGCATGCAGGGAGACCTGCGGGGCCATCTCCTCCATCCTGTCACTGAGCGCAGCACCTATGTCAGGCCGGACCGGGAACTGTCTCTCTGGCACTTCCCAGAAATGACAGCATCTGTGCTGTCACTCACCACTGGCTGGGAGTCTGTGGAGAAGGTGGCCAGGAGCTAACAGGTGAGTCGGGGCCTATGAGTCTGGCCTGGATGGTATGGGGCAGAGTCAGGTTTCTATTATGGGAAAGAAGTCCTTGGTGTTCCTCTTCTTTCTTTATGTATTTATTTTTATTTATTTTAGTACTGGGGATTAAACCCAGGACCTTCTCACTGAGCCATGTCCTCAATCTTTTTAATTTTTTTTTCTGAGTCGGAGTCTTGCTAAGTCACTGAACTGCCCAGGCGGAGCTCCAACTTGTGATCTTCCTGCCTCTGCCTCCCAGAGTGCTGGGATTACAGGTGCGGGCCATCGAATCGAGCTTCTTCTGCTAGTCTTTACAAGGGCTCCTGTGTCCCATGCAGGCTTCCCTGACCACAGGGCCAGGCCAAGGGCACTGGCTCCGGAGAGCACGGGCATCTAGCTTGAAGCCAGTCCTGACCTCCCGGAGAGCCCTGGCTTCCTCTGCCTCCTCCTAGTGTCCCCTAGCCAATCCCGGCACCTGGACCCATCCCTTTAGAACCCCAGAGTACTTGGGGCATCCCCACACCCCATGCTGACAGTCCTGACAGTAAACTCTTTTCGTAGTGGTCCAGTGGTGGTCACATGGGAAAAGCTCTGCACCCTATTAGACCAGCCCTTGCCATGTCACTGTGCCTAGGAAGTGGCTGGCAGGGTCTTATGGGCCTCTGGTTGTGTTCTGGGCACCTTGGACAATAGCCATCCCTGTTCTTTTTTTCTTTTGGTACCAGGAATCAAACTCAGGAACTTACGCTGGCCAGGCAGGTGCTTGTGCCACTGAGCTGTATCCCTGGTGACAGTAGCCATATGAGACTTGTTCCAGGCTAATTGTGTGTGTGTGTGTGTGTGTGTGCATGTGTGTATGTATGTGTACATATGTGTGTAAATCAAACCCAGGGCCTTTGTACCAAGCTACCTTCCCACCTTTTCCTGTTTCTTTTTTGAGATGAGGTCTGCTTCGTTGCCTAGATTGGGCTCAAACTCACAATCCTCCTGCCTCAGCCTCCCAAGTAGCTGAGATTACAGGCATGTGTGACCACTCTGGCTTAATTTTTTTAAGAAATAACTACTCTTAGGCAAACTATGACTGTCTCACTGGTATTTGGACAGTTTGGATGCCTGCTGGGACCCCCTGTTTTTCACTCCCTCGGTGACTCTGGGAAGTCCTCTTTCCCTCTCTGTCAGTTTGGGTAGCTGTGTGGTTTTCTGGCTGGGGTTTCTCCAGGCACTGGCTGGGGCTGCGGTGGGTACAGCAGTCTAGCCAGGCAGAGAGCTCACCATCCCAGGGCACAACACAGCAACTGTTGATGTTTAGAAGAATGAATATTTCTATAAGCCCTCTCCCCTCCAGTCAGTGCCTATCCACAGCCCTGGGACCTAGGGAAAAAGCTCACCCTCCTTCCCACTGGAAGCAGAGAAATATTTTCCACAGCCACTGAAGGCCCCGGGACCTCCCCACACCCCAAATTCACCCCTCTTTTGGCAGAGGACCTTGTTCAAGCTGCATGCCTGGTGCAGTAATTCCTGATGACCGCTCTGCCCGTGGCTGGAACTGGCCTCCGCCCAGGCAGCTCCACAGAGGCCTGCCAAAGCAAAGCGAAGTTTAAAATCAACACAGGTGACCCCATCATCGACATGATGGGATTCCATAGTGTCCCAAACACACCCAGTTGAAATTCTCTGCTAAATTAGAGGTGGAGAATTGGACTGATTGCTTGCATGTGGGGTTTAATTAAACGCTGTAATTTTCCTCCTGGGTAACGTCCCAGAGGACGGGTCTAACTTGCCTCGGTCTCTCCTTGCTGAGCAGCCTCTCCTCCTTGTGGTTGGGTGGGGTGGGAGTGACAAGCAGGTGGCTGGCAGTTTCTTCTTCCCCACGGGCCAGAAGGAGCCTGCGATTCCCAGAGGGCTCCTTCCCTCTGAGGCCAAGGGGGTGAGATTTTCAGCTGAAGCCAAAGGAAAAATAACTCTTAACTTCTGGTCACTTTCGAATTGTGTAGACGTGGCTCCCACATGTAACTAAAATTTTGGATCAGTGTATTTCTAGCCAGCGTTGAGCCCAAGCAGTAAGCTGAGGATGGCTGAGTTCGTTCTTCAGTGGAGTGAAAGGAATTCAGGTGAGGCACGCTGACTCTATTTTGATGGCTTCTGGGACATTCTGAAGTCCAGCCAGAAGACAGTCAGCCCATGCAGGGAGTATATGCGAGAAGTAGAGGAATAGATTGTGTGAATTTCAAAGTACTAAGTGTTCGGGGACTTCATCTGTTTCTCAAAAGCATCAGTGACCCCTCAGAAAGAATAAAGAGTGCCGAAGTAAACGAGCTCCCTAAAACTCAGAGAAAAAAAAGCTCAGAGAGAGAAAGCCACACACCCAGGACCACACAGCCAGCTCAGCTAGTTGGAGCCAAGTATCCCGTTTCCTGCAGAGCACTCTTTCTAGTGTATCCTGCTGCTGCTCTTAGGCTCATCTGAGACAGGGCCCAAGCCCTGGGAGAAAATATTTAAGCTGAGCTTAAAACACGCTCTGCTGGGCTCTCCCGACTGAGGAAGCGGGGCCATCTTGGGGTGTCCCTGGCGCCTTCTGTGATAGTGGACACGGACATGGACTCCTTGGGCCTCCTGACTCACTTGACCACAGAGAGGCTGAAAGTCCTCCCCAGCTTGGGCCATGTGGGACTCTGGGAACAGTTTACACCACCAATGGGGGCAGGAGCGAACAAGGAGAGGGGTGAGGAGGAGCCATACCGTGAGCCCTTTCCTACCACAAAGATGCTCCTTTGACAAAATGTGGCAGGTGGTTCAAGCACAGATATAAGTTCGCTGCGCTCTTTTCCTGCTCTGTCCCCAGCATTCCCACTACCCCACAACGGTATGGCACCAGCACCCCCATGTGGGGCCATCAGCCGTGGCTGATTAGTCCCTCTTTTTCTTCATGCTGATGTGCCAATAAGGGGCATCGCTTTCTGATGATCACCAGGTGCCAAGAGACCCATCAAGTCTGTATCATTTTATTTGGAAAACATGTCAAACCCACAAAAATTACAAGAACCGTACGTAGTGATAAAACATCCCAACACACTTTTCAAAACACATTGTCCCATTTGCCTTGTGCTTTGTCCTATCTATATTTTAGTTTTGCATCCATGGAGCATTCCATTGAACCACTTGAGAATAAGTTGTCTGCACCAAGGCCCTCTGCTCTCAAAACTTTATATTTTTTTATTATCAAATATAATTTTCATTGCAGAGTATTAAGGAGTCAGTCACAGGCTTGGAGTATGCAAATAACAATATATGGTAAAACATTTGTTAATTTAAGTAGATCAGAAGAAGATCATCTATGAACCTTTCATTGCCCCAAGAGAATACAGTGTCGTCCGCACACAGCTCTCAGAACTGTAGGACATGCTGACCACAAGAACCAGCAGGCACCAGCCACCCAAGGATTCTTAATAAGTTTTCGTGTGGCCCCAGTGGTCCAGGAACCTTCCAAATACAAAGTGTCTGGCAATTCCATCAGATTCCCCTGGGAATCGATGGCCTTTTCCCCCCAAAAGGGCAGAAAGCTCAGAGGTAAACCAGCTCCCTCCTCCGAGGTAGAAGAGCCCTGAGGACTCTAGTTTGTGGATTCCGAGCCCAAGGTTGTTGCCACCCAGAGCCGCAGCGAGTCATCTGCCACAGCGTGCTGAATGCACATGTGAGGTTTTATGTACTCTCTGCTCCAGTTTGTCCAGTGGCCTAATCATCCCCTTCACAGCCTTTTCCTTCCACCCAGCACAGAATCCACGATCAGATGTGACTTTTCCCTGTCCTACTGCTTTAGCCTCCTGCAATCTGGACCACTTCTATGGCTTTCCTTGGACTCAGATGACATGGAAACCATGGGTGAACTAGCCCCGGGGCCTCAGCCTGTCATCTCTACCTGTGACGAGGAGGAGGAGACCCTCTCCTACCCTTCTCCCAGCCTGGCCATCTTCACAGATTCTTAGAGATAAGAGGATGGTAGTGGTCACTGGATTCAACCTGCCCATTTTACAGATGCAGCCTAAAAGGCCCAGAGAGGGAATAATATTAGCAGGACCAGCCAATCAGGGCCAGCCAAAGCAGGACCAGTCCAGTACTGGGCACCCAGCCATGTGCTCCCAGCTCTGAGAGACAGGTCCCTGATGGGCCTGTCTCTCAGCAGTGTCTGCCATCTACCCAAGGGGCACCTCCAGGAATGTGACACTGGTTAAAAATAAAACAAAAGGTGTTCACTTTGGCAGCACATATACTAAAAAAAAAAAAAAAAAAAAATGGAGCCAGCCCCACTCTGCACCAGCTGCTTCCAGAGACATGTGGAGAACTGCACTGTGTGACTGTCACGACTCACCTTTGCCATCTGGGGAACAAAGCGAAGGGGACACCAGACTCCATGTGATGCGACTTAGGAACACGTCCCAGTGCCCTGAACTAAAATTAACCATCTTGCTGCTTCCAAAGTTCCCATTGTCCTCAGCTGGTGACCAGGCTGAATAAGGTCCCCTGGGGACCAGTGGCAGGCCCATCTGGCACCTCCCTGGCTGAGTTTTTGGGCCCCCTCCCTGTGCACCGCTTTGCAAAACATTAAACGATACTAAGAAGTAGTGCAGTGGCTTCTCTGGTGTGTTGG